CTCAAACTTGTTTTATGGTTGGAACTCCACCAAAGACTTAATAGTAGTCATGGCTTTAGCCAAGTCATGAACTCCCTTTCGTTGTAGCTCGTGCTTCACTCACGTTTCAGCCCACCTATGAAGGCAAATAGACCCCCCATCTTACTCAGATCTAAGATCTGAAACATCAGTTCAGAGAATTTCTAAATGTACTCCCTCACATCCCCTTGCTGACTAAGTCGACATAACTTTGCCCATGCCTCATCGTTGACATACTCTAGGTAAAATTGCTTCATGAACTTCTTTTGAAACTCTTTTCAGGTTTCAATCATGGTGCCTTCACATCAAACATCATCACACTTATGCCTCTACCATAATAAAGTAACATTAATAAGATACATTAAAGCAGTGCTTACCTTGGTAGCATCATCTTGCATGCTCGTAGCCTAGAAGTACTGTTACATCTCTCATAGGTAGTTGTCTATTTTTTTGGTCGCCCTTGTCCCTTTGAACTCTTTAGGCTTAAAAATCTCTATATGGGTCTTAGACACTCCAGCAAACATGCCATTCTCAATGGTAGTCTTGCAAGCAGTTAACTCCCTTTAACTGCTTTTGAGCCCTCCTGGGCTTTCAAGACTTCATTCCTCTAGGTGATCATATCAAGGTATTCATTGAGAGCAACTTGCAACTCACCTTTGAGCCCTCCTTCATGGAATCTAGCAGTTCAACGTGAGTCTCCACATCATCAAGCTTCTCTTTTACATCACTTATGATCACTTCCATCTTGGATAGCCTTCTGTCCATGGTAGACTAAATGTCTCTCAAATTGGTTTTCTTCCCTCTTCCGTGGCTTTGCTCATGGGCCTCTAGATGTTAACTAACCACATTCTCTGGGATGCCATCTCCTCAACTGTGATCTAACCTACACATAAACACTAGCAGAACCTGAATGGAGCCTACTTTGATACCAACTCCCGGTTAGAACTTATTTGATATCAATTGTTACGCGCTCCGATCTAAGACTCAGAATCCCTGCGGCCTTAGGCTTGGAATCACCTCCTTTTAACCTAAGTCAGCCTAATATGCAATAGTGCGAGCACTAAAACAACTAGAAAGATAGAATACACAAGTTTGAGAGAGTAAGAAAATTGCTGGAATATGCACTATATATTATTGAAGCAAAGTATCTGATGATATATAATTGAAAATAGGGCGACCCTCTATTTATAGTTGAGGCTTTTAGCTCTACTTATGGCTATCTCCTAAAATCAAGAGATTACAAGATCTCATAAAATAAGGTATTACACATTATCACATAGATTACACGAGGCTCTTTCTGATTTTCAAGGTCAACCAGATCTTGTTAAAGGCTTCCACCGATCTTGTCTGCCTTTGGAAGATTTTGGATCGATTTTACTCCCCTGGGCCCTCTTAGGTCCGGTGCGAGCATCTTACAGACCTGGCCCTGACTGTACATGCAGGCCTGCATGCTGTGCAGGCGATCTAAACTCCTCTCCAAAGCCTAATGCGCAGGCCTAGGATGCTTGAGCGTGTGCGCTTGATATGTCCGTCCAGGGTGTGAAACAGGAGCATACCACTAAGCTGCTTCAACGGCCAAGATGTGTACGTGTGCTATTATAATAATGATGGTAAAAACAATGTCGAAAGTGGATGGAAGTTGTTAGTGTCGAGGGATAATGTAATGCAAGTGGATTGGTCTGGTGAAATATCTGAAGAGGATGACGAGGAACAACTACTATGGCGCAGTATTTGAAAGGCAACTGTTCCAAATAAGATACGTGTATATAGTTGGCGGTTGTGCCATGAAATTCTCCCTATGTATGCAATGTTGAAGAAAAGAAAGCTCAAAGAAGATGCAACATGTCCAAGATGTGGCTTGAGGGAAGAAACGGAGGTGCATCTTGTGCTTGAATGTCCACATGTGATGATAGTATGGAAGGAGGATAGTCTGGAAGTGGTTAGGAAAGAGTAACAGTGGCACAATATCAAAGAATGGATGCAAAAGATGGTCATAAAGATGGGTTCTTAATACTATCGAAAGAACTCTCATCCTTGCTTGGGCTGTATGGGGCAACAGAAACGTAGTAGTGAATAATGTGCATAGAACGGGTCATGCAACAAGAAGGTTTGCAAGTTCCTACCTGAAGGAATACCAGCGTGCACAAGAACAACATGTTGAGCTGGAAAGGAAAAATCAGGGTAGTTGGCAAGCACCGAGAGGAATACCATCAAGATCAATTTTGATGGTGCTTTGGACTGCGTCAATGGGAAAGGAGGGATGGGAGCAATAGCTAGGAATAGTATGAGGGAACTAATGGAGGCAATTAGTGAGCCTATTGTTGCGTGTAGGGATCCTGCATCAATAGAAGCCTTGGCTGTACTAATGGCAGTGAGATGGGGGGTGGAGATGGGTTTCCAAAAAGTGGAGATCGAAAGGGATACTCTATTGATTGTCAAACAAATTTTACAGAAGGAAAGAAGTCTATCTCCAGTGGGGCATATTATTGATGACATGAAACTCCTATTGAGGAACTATGCTGAATGGCAATGTAGCTTCGTTAGATGCGAAATGAATAGTTTGCCCATCGTTTGTCAAAGTTAGCTTTATAAGCTAGTGGTACTACTCAATGGGTGGATGCCTATCCTACTGATATATTTGTACTTACTGAGAAAGACAAGCTAGCACAAGAGTAATGAAAGCTTTATTTTCAGATTCAAAAAAAAAAAAAAGAACCTGTTATTCTCTCTGCTATTCTCTTTATGCATGTGTATTTTTGTTTTTATGTACAAGACGATTAAAAGTTTTACAAATAATATTTAAATTAAATCTTAATAGAACAAAATCAGTTAAATATAATTAATATAAACCAATTTTAAAGAATTTAGTCTTAATATTATTTTTATATATGAATTCATATGCAATATGATTGGTATGGGTGAATTTTCTTGCATTCAATTTTTCAAAAGTAAGTTTCTCAAAAAATATAGATTTTAGTGCAATTATAAATTGTAAACATTTGTAATGTATTTTATTACTTAGATTAACAATGTAGCAGGTGAGTACATAAGATTTTTTACTAATATTTTTTATATTTAATTTTGTGTTGTATTTGTCAATATATAGTTTTTATCATTTCTAATAGTAACAAGATATTATCCTTTTTTTAGATAAATAAAATACATCATTTATCAAAAAATAAATTTTAAATAGAATTAATTCATGATACAAACAATATTTTTTTCATTATCAAATAAATTAAAAAAACAATAAAACTAGCATTTATGTTTAACTTGTTTGGACATAAAGAACAATTTAATCCATCTCTATTATTGGGATTCTTATATCTATATTTAAAATTTAGGTATAATATTGAAAAAGAGAAATATATATAATATTGATGATACAATATAAAATCATATAATTATCAAAATTTTATAAATTCTAATACTACCTAATTATGAAATTAATCATGCAAAAGCAAAGATGTAAAAAACCTAGTAAGTGTATAAATTTTGAAAAACTTCTAAAAAAAATTTAATATATTTTTAGTTAAGTATTTCACAAAAAATTGTGATAAAATTTTTATCATTAGATAAGTATTAATCAAATTTAAATTATAAATAATTTTTAATTTTTTATATATTGTTTATTTTCTTATTAAATTTTATCCATTTTATCATTTTAAATTTTTGTTAATATTTTTATTGCATAATTTTTATTAAAAAAGTTTACCTCTTTACGAGGAAAAAGAAAAGACAAAAAAAAAAAAAAAACTCCACTTATGTTTTTCCTTTTTCTTTTGCACGTTTTCAAATGTGGAAAAGAAGGGGAATAAAAACTAGAAAAAGCAATTAACTGCCAATTCTAAATCTTTTATTTTGTGAATCCGGTTTGACCAACCAATACCATGTGAGTGTATGCAAAAGTCATCTTTAGACTTCACTAAAAATGACAATTAAAAAAATTTTTTTCCTTCCACCAATCATTACAAAATAACTTGAAACATTTCCTATTTGACCAAAATCATTATTTTTATCTTCCAATCTATATTTAAACAATTCACCATTTGTATAATTCATACTTAATTTTATTCTTAGTTTAATTTTTCTTTTGTTTAAAGAAAAAGTTTTAATAGAAAATATTGTACGGCTTCTAAAGAAAATTTTTAAAATCTGAATCTTTTATAATTGTAACAAAATTCATAATTTTACCACTACATGAGAACATTAGATGCAAATTATTATTATTACTCATTTTAATTAAATAAAATGATTTTATTTTTTTTAATTTGTACCCATCACATAATATTGGAACGAAAATTGGTAAAATTAAATACAAATTCCAACAAAATAAAAAATAAAAAACATAAAGATTAGAAATATTCCTTTTAAGATTATTTCAAAACCCTTTTACAAAATTATTTTATTAAGTATCTAGAAAGTTCAAAACAAGCCAATACCATAAAGAAAAATGAAAAAGATTTTCATGTAAAAGCAAGTAAGCAAAGCAACTAACCAATGCCGTGTTGAGCTCAGCATTTGCCGTTTGCCCCATCAATTTTTCCGTGTCCATTACTACACGCCAATCACCAAAAAACGAAAAAAAAAAAACCTAATTTATGTGGGCCAACACCTACACCGACGACTTTTTCCCATTTAATTTACAGTCTTAAATTAATTAATTAATAAAATTCTTAATTTAAAAAAATGAATCAAACTTATAAAGGAAAAAAGCATTAAATTTTCACGTTTCCACAACCGAAAAAGGCTTCATATGTTTTCCATGAAATCAGCCAATCATAATTTCACAGCTTTTATGTTGTTTCCAAGACGTTTTTAAAAAATAAAAAATAATAGATTTTTAGAATTCATTTTTTATATTATAAATAATTTTTTTAATTTCAAAAATATAATTAAAAAATATCACTTTTTTTAATTTTTTATTTTTTTAATATATAAGTATGTGTCATCTTACTTATGTAATTTAAAAAATATCAGTGATGAAATAATAATTTTTTTATATAAAATAAACATAAATCCAAAAATTAAAAAAATCACAACAACAAAAAAGAACTAATTACCATTTCCATTAAGAAAACAATGCAAAGTAAGTACTAATAATATCCACAATTAACACTACCAGATTAAATCTACTATTATTCATTAACGTTCCTAAACTAAACAAATTCAGTTACCTAAAAAGAAAAACCCTAACACTTACCTGGTATTTTGGAAACTTGTTCTTCATGCATTGTTCATCATCTTCTTAAACTCTTCGAAATTAACGTTCCCGTCGCCATCTTTATCAACTTGACTGATCATTCTTCGACAATCACTCAACGAACACTTCTCTCCCAACCTTTTCAACACGGCATGCAATTCGTTTGCCGAAATCAAACCATTCTTGTCCAAATCGTACATGTCGAACGCATCTTTCAGTTCTTTGTTCCCACACTGGGTTTCGTCGCCATTGATGTTTGTTCCGTGGAAAGCAATGAACTCGTCTAGATCTACATAGCCATTTCCATCTTTGTCCATCTCCGACATTATCCGATCAACTTCTTCGGAAGAAGGTGTGGAGCTTAAGGCACTTAGGATCGATTTCAGTTCGTCGCGAGAGATTTTCCCGTCGCCGTTTTTGTCGAATTTGTTGAACACTTTCTTCATATCTTCCATTGAACCTGAGGAACCCGCCATTGAAGAGAAAAAACAAAAACAGAGAACAAATTTAGAGTTTTATGTTTCTTCCATTTTGGAGGCGTATTTATAGGGAAAGTGTGAAAGTCTATTAACACGGTTTTTTTCCGCGTGAAGGCAGGACTAGGATGTGGACAGATGTACGGTAGTTTTGGGTAAGCAACCAGCAGAAAAGTGACACATTTTTATTTAATGCAGGAATTAGTGCTAAGCTTGGAAAATCGTGTGACTTTGGGAGGAAAGATTTGGCAAGTCAATATTTACTCGTTTGTTTATGATTGCGACTCTTACCTGTAACGCGTGTTCTTGAATTATATTTTTAATTTGACAGAATTAAAATTAATTTGCATAAATAAATAAATATTATTTATTTTGAAATTATTCTTAATAAATGCATAAAATTTTTAAACTTCATTATCATTATTAAAATATGTTTAAATTTAAAATTTAATTCATTTGATTTATATAATTATATTAAAAAAATAAATTTAGAGTTTAAATTTTAATATTTATAATTTTTTATACAAAAATTTTACATATATCATTAATTATTATATTTGTTATTTTAAATATATATATTAATGAGTGTGTGATAATTTTTTAATTTTATTTTGAAATTTAAAAATGTCATTGAAAGTTAATTAAAATATTTTTTAATTTTTTTTAAAACATTTATTTTTTGTTTGCAGATGTAATTAAGAAAATTTTTGAAATTCGAATATTAAAGATAACAACCACTCTGACAGGATTCTTTTTCTTAACCTATAAAAATGTTAGGGTGGATTTAGAATTTCGATTTTAACTTAATTTGACCTTTTTTTTTTTGTTTTACGATATATCTTGATTTATTGGGTTGATAAATTATTTGGTAAATGGTAATTAAGAAGGATTTATGTAATTTAATAATGCATCACGATTTTTATGTGATCATAAGAAATATTTAAATAAATAATTTGTCTTTAATGTTTGCTATTTAAGTTCTTCCATGCCACAAAGATCACAATATCAAATCCAATGAATTAAGGAATTCTATAGGCAAGACTCAAGATAATTACAATTGGCTGTTTCAAAAAAAAAAAAAAGATAATTACAATTGGCTAAGCAATAAATGGTATTGACTCAACATTTCTTCAATAGAACATTTCAATAGTTTTAACTTGAGTTTTCATCTTAAACATTTTGGATTTTAGAGTAAAATTTATCGGTAGTCCACAGCTTTCTATAAAAATGTATCATTTTCATTCACGATTCAAAAAATTTAAATTTACCAATCGTAATTTTTAAAAAAATTTCTCCATCCTTTTGTTAGCTATTTGCAGTTAGACAATTAACAAAATTATTCATGCGGGTGTCATCTGTTAATTCGTGTGGCTTAATGCAAACATGATTCACGAAATGTGTGATATCAGTGTATCACAAAATTTTGACCAAGAAATAAGTTAGCCACACCTTAGCCACACATTTTAGATAGGATTTTTCCTGCCCACGCTTACACGTCTTCATCAAGCCACGTAAGACAACAGGTAAGCTTCGTGTAAACATTTCTATTAATTTGATGCAGATTTGGTGATTTGTCTATTAATATTATGTAAAATATTAAAATTTATATATTTATAATATATTTTATATGAAAATTATATTTTATAATTTATATTAATATAAAAATATAAATTTTTTTAAAATTTATAAATAATTATTACAAAAATTTTAAATTATATCATATTTATATTTATTTATTTTATTATATTTTAAATTATTAGATTTAATTTGATTATTAACTAACAGAATGATAGATAATGAAAGTTTTTAAACCATCATTTGATGATAAAACATAAATTATTTTAAGAAAGCATGTAAGATATAGGTTTCATCTCAATCATTCCTTTCTCTTAAATATTATAAACCAAAAAAATTATTTAAGACACGGATGCAAATAATACATTTATTTAATTATTAATGAATTTTAATATAAATGATGTAAAATTTATGAGACAAAAAAGATTGTATCTCGAAATCTTTATATAAAAAACATTTTGATAGTCGATATTAAAATCATACAAAATGTATACTACAATATTGATGTTTCATCTAAACACTTTTTAGGTGGCATTTTATTGGAAGAAATCTACATATATTTTCGTAAAATTTTATTGTTGTGTAATTGATTTCAACGTTTGATTTAAAGTAATTTGATTTCGAAAAAAATTAATAGATTCTCAATAATACTTAAAGTCTCAGAATAAAAAACTCACTTCTTTTTATGATATTATAAAATTTCAAAAGGGAAAGTAGCTTTATTTCTAAATTTGACCTATTTAAAAAATTACAAAATAGTTGTTATTATTTTGAAAAAGTATATCTAAAAATGAATGTAAGTCGGTTGCAAATTTCTATTAGTAAAAAATTTAGTTATTATATGATATTTGGCATGAAAAAACACCTTCAATAAATTATCATTTAAATAAATTTTTGATTCTTTAAATAATGATTATTTAAGGCATTTTTCTTCTAAAAAAAGCCTTAAATTTTGATCATTTAAGGCATTATCTTTTAAATGCATTCGATAATAATTACTTAAAGTATTTTTAATCAAAAATATCTTGAATAATCTCATTTAATTTTTTTAAAAAATTATTGAAGGTATTTTTGATAAAAATACATTAAATAATCTTTTCATTAAAATTGAAAGGGATTATTCAATACATTTTTAGCAAAAAAATGCTTTAAATAACCCATTTAATTTTTTTTGTAAATGATTATTCAAAACGTTTTTTGTCAAAAAAACGCATTAAATAATTCTTTTATAAATTAAAATAAATTATTCAATGCGTTTTTGACTAGAAATATTTTGAATAATCTTATTTAATTTTTTTAAAGGATTATTGAATTATCCAAAAAAAAGAAAAAAATTATTTAAAGCGTTTTTTACTAAAAACGTTTTGAATAATCCCCTTTAATTTTTATTAAGTGATTATTTAAAGCATTTTATGATAAAAAACTTAGAATAATCCTCAAAAAAATTAAAAAGGATAATTTAAAGTATTTTAAGTTAGAAATATTTTTAATAATCCTTTTTAATTTTTATAAAAAATTATTCAATATATTTTTTATTAGATAACATCTTGAATAATCTTATTTAATTAATTAAATAAAATTATTTAAGTTATCATCATATATACTAACGAAATTATAATAATTATTTAAAATTTAATATATATTTATTCCAACTAAATAAATAAATCTAAATATAAAATATTTTAAAAATAAAAAATCTCAAAAATTATATTTTTTAAAACCTACGATTTTATGAATTAAATTTTCGATACTGGTTACTCTTAGTCAACCTTTATTAAAGAAAAACAATATGTATTAAAAGGTCAAACGCAAATTTTGAATGAAAATAATTTTTTTTTCTGTCTAAATCACTATCAATCGTCGTTTAAAAAATTGGCCATACGTGCTTGACACAACATTGCAATATGAGATCTGCTACTACGCTTATCTGTCGTCACTCATAAACGTGTTATCATATTTTAATATTTTATTGGCTGCATATGTTAGATGGAAAGCGCGTAGGCCAGAAAACCAAGCCAAACCCATTGATAATGACTAACTTTAGTTAAACTTTTTTAATTCAAAGAAGGGCTTTTTTGCTTTTTTTTTTGTTGGGCTGCTCTCATTTTAACTTCCAACGAACTTTGGTTTCTTGTCAAAAGACCCAAGGCACATGCTTCTGGAAACCTTACAGCATGTTTGGTGGGGGAATAGTCGGGGGAATAGGCTATTCTCCCTATTCCATAAGATAGAACGGGAATGCTAACGGCTACTGTAGCTTCCGTCGCCCCTCCAACACTCCCTCGTACATGAAGCCACGTTTCCACATTTTTTCAACTAAAAACCGGCAACCGAATATTCAAGTCATCCCTTTTTTTTTTTCTTTTTCTGTTGCATGGTCCAAATTTTCAAGTCACATCCAAAAAGTTACCTAAAGACTAAAATGCATTTGGTGTTCCTAAAATATATTAATATTATTGGTCTTGAATTAATCAAGAATTTTGATTTGACAAAACAAAAATTTATCTAATTTGAATCAACCTTGTCTAAGCTTGAAATAAACATTTTTTCACTCTTCTATCTTGCCAGAATCAATTTGAAAATCAAAATATGTCAAATTTTCGGAACAAAACATGTTTAGTGCAAGTTTTAATGGAAGGGATCGATCCCCTCCTTACTAGATCAATCCCCTAGCAAAAGGGATCGATCATGTTTTCTTCCAGAATCGAAAATCCTTCAAGTTTTGGCAAAAACCAATCGATCCTCTCTCTATAGGGATCGATTGGTTAAGGTTGCAAGATGACCAGATCGATCCCCACAATCAAGGGATCGATCACTTTTTCATACAGAATGCTTTCTTTATGAAATTTTTCAGAAAAGGGATCGATCCCCTCTTAAAAGGATCGATCGATTGTTCAAACAGAATGCTCCCCAAGTGTTGAAACCCAGAAAACCAATTGATCCCCCCACATAAGGGATCGATCACCTAAAGAACAAATCGATCCCCTAAAGCAAGGGATCGATCGGGTGAGGCAAAACAGGCACAAAATCGGGCCTTCTCAAACATGAACTAATCGATCCCCTAAGGGAAGGGATCGATCCCCTGAAGGTCAGAAACTCCTAACGACTATTTTTTTGCTGAAATTTTTACAGGTTTGAAGCATTAAATGCATTCCAAAGGGTCTCAACTTCATCTTAACTATAAATCAAGCATTCCACTATAGACCAAGAGCAACAAGAGCTAAAGAAACTTATTGCTATTCACCTACCAATCTGCTCAAGCATTCAAAGTTGTAAAAAGAGAAAAATACAAAATTCATATCAGGTTTTCTCTACTTTCTTATCTATACCTCTGGGTACTTCAACTTAGCAAACACTTAACTTTTGTGAGGTTCTTAAAGTTTGTCAAACACTTCTAAATTTTTGTATTGTGAGTGTGTAAGCTTAAGGGGAAAGATAACCCTTAAGAGTGTATGTTGTTGAGTTTGTAAAGCTTTATG